CCACCCCTCACCCCCTGCATTGGAAGGTGAAGTCTTAATCAATGGACCAGCAGGGAAATCCCAGTTTTTAACCTTTTTTGAGGGTACTTTTCAGTAGCATTAAGTATATTCACATTGTTGTGCAGTCAGCACCACCATCCATCTCCAGAACTTTTTCATTTTCCCAAATGGAAACTGTACCCATTAAACAGTAACTCCCCAGAACCCTAACTTCCAGACCATGGCACCCTCTGTTCTGCTTTCTTTCTCTGTGAAGTTGACCCTTACCTCAGATAAGTGGGATCATATGGCATCCGTCCTTTTGTGTCCAGCTTATTTCATTTAACATAATATTTTCAAAATTCTTCCATGTTGTAGCATGTGTCAGAATTTCATTCCTTTATAAGGCTGAATGGCTTCCCTGGTAGCTCAGTTGGTAACGAATCTGCCTGCAATGCAGGAGGCCCCAGTTCAGGAATTTCATATTCCATGGACAGAGAAACCTGGCGGGCTACAGTCCATGGGGCCACAAAGAGTTGGACACGATTGAGCAACTAACCCACAAGGCTGAATAATATTCCATTGTGAGTATACACATGTTGCTTATCCATTCATCTGTTGATGAACATGGGGACTTTTTCTACCTTTCCTCTATTGTGAATGATGCAGCTATGAATATTCATGTGCACATATCTGTTTGAGTCTCTGTTTTCAGTTCTTTTGGATGTATATACTATTGCTGGGTATGGACATCCAAAAGAATGGAAAAACTCGAATTGCTGGGTCTTTAAGGTAGTTATGTGATTCAGTTTTTGAGGAACCATCACACTTTTTAACAGTAGCTGCACATTTCACATTCCCACCACCAGTGCATAAGTGTTCCAGTTTCTCCACATCCTCTCCAACAATGGTTAGTTTTTTTTCTTTTGATAAGAGTCATCCTACTGGGTATGAAGTGATATCTTGTTATTTATTTATTTATTTGCCTCACCAGCCTGTGGGATCTTAGTTCCCTGACCTGGGATCCAACCCATGGCCCCTGGAAGTGTGGAGTCTTAACCACCGGACTGCCAGGAAAGTCCCTCAATATGGTTCATGTTTGCATTTCCCTAATGATTAGTGATGTCAAGTATCTTTTTGTGTGCTTATTGGCCATTTATGTATTTTCTTTGGAGACGTATTCATTAAAGGCCTTTTTCTCAGTCATATTTAACACATACGTATATTTTATAAGCTTCCCAGATGGTGCAGTGGTAAAGAATACACCTGCAGTGCAGGAGTTGCACGTTTGCGGTGCAGGAGACTTGGGTTTGATCACTTGTTCGGAAAGATCCCTTAGAGTAGGAAATGGAAACCCACTCCAGTATTCTTGCCTGGAGAATCCCATGGACAGAGGAGCCTGGCAGGCTACAGTCCTTGGGGTTGCAAGGAGTTGGACAGGCTGAGCCGCTGAGCATACACATAATTTTACAGATTATGTGAATGTACTTAATACTTCAAGATCTATGTCAGTTTTTTGGTTTTAAAAGCCATAATCATATCCCACATACAAATATCTGGTCAATCTTTAGCCCCTTGCTATACTCTAATGGATATTTTGGTTAGTTCCAGTTCTTACCCATTATAAACAGTTTGTATAATAGTAAACAAGCTTGAATATACACACACATCTATTTATCTGTCTATATCTACACAGGTGCCAAGGTTTCTCTTAGCTACAGTCCTGCAAGTTGCTAGTTGAAGGCATGGGGATATTTAAAATTTTTATACACATAAATTCAAATTACCCCCAGCACAGTCCCAACTGCCACGGGCCCCTGGTCATCTTTGTCATCTGTGGCAAAGACAATTTTTTCTATTGAGTACTGAGGGCAGGTGGCTGCCTGAACCTGGAGCCCAGATAAGACATCCCTGGGGCACTTCCCTGGTGGTCCACTGGCTAAGACTCCATGCTTCCAATGCAGGGGGTGCTGGTTTAATCCTTGGTCAGGGAACTAGACCCCACATGCTGCAACTTAGAGCCAGTGTAGCCCCCCCCCCCAAAAAAAAGAGACATCCCCTGAAGCTCTCTCTCAGCCTTCTGGTCCACCACATTTTGAAATTATTCCCCCCAGCCCCTGTCACTCCCACAAGCCTAAGAACAGGCCTTGATATCCCTCTTGCAAAAAACAAAAAAACCCCTCTGCTGTATCAAGCCTCTCTCCGAGGGAGTCTGCCTTGTAGGGGTGGCGCTGCCCCCAGAGGAAATTTCCTTTGCCTTCCTGAAACCTCCAGCTGACAACAGCCCCCTCCTCTTTTGCCAAGGAGAGGGGAGAGCATAGTCAGAATGAATAGACGCCCCTTACCCTCTGTCCTCCCAAGTTCACTAGTGCCTGAGCTTTCTGGGGTGTATGTGTGTGTGATGTGTATGCTCAGTCGTGTCTGACTCTGACCCCATGGACTGTAGCCTGCCAGGCTCCCCTGTCCATGGGATTCTTCAGGCAAGAACCTTGGAGTGGGTTGCCATTACCTTCTCCAGGGGATCTTCCCAACCCAGAGATTGAACCCAAGTCTCTTGCATCTCCGGATTCTTTACCACTGCACCACATGGGATAACCCTTTTAAATTTGATGGGAAAATATGCCATTTGTTAAATCTGTAAAATACATTATGCATATGTGTGTGTAAAGTATATATGATATATGCATATTAATTTTCACATGTTACACAAAATACATATATTTTTGCCTCTGCCGAACCTCACCTTGAACAAACTTGCTTCTCCTCCATCTTTCCCTCTCAAGTAGTGGTCATCTTTTAGCCAGTGTACTAATATCGGAAGGAGAGACTTGCTGTAGGCTGAAATCTCCCATCTTAGGGTCAGGCTTTTTTTTTCTTTTTGGCTGCACAATGCAGCATGTGGGATTTTCGTTCCCCAAACTGGGATTGAACTTGTGCCCCCTGCATTGGAAGCCTGGAGTCTTAACCACAGGGCTGCCGGGGAAATCCCAGGTCAGGCTTTCTTTGATAGGAAAGAATAAACAAAGCTGAGAAGTGGGATGACTGATGGGGTGGTAGGGTAGTTTGTCAGGGCGGACAACTGGTTTCCAGGTTCATGGGTGGGTCAAAGTTCAATGACCCAGGAGGGTTGGGGGTTGGGGGATGGGGAGAAGCCTGATTGAAGCTTGGTTAAGTTCTGTCCAGGCTGTTCAAGGGGGACAGACAGTTCAGGTACTCATTCACAGACAGATATTGGGAATTCGGATAGCCTCTGTCTGGCCTTGTCCTAGGTAAACAGAGCCATCCTTGGGTCTTACCTGAGTTGTGTGGGGAAGGGTGTTTAATGGCGGGACAGAAAGGGTTGGAGAGGTGGTTCTTACCCATCACTGTTTTCTAGGACCACAGGGCTCAGGTATAAAGTTCAGTTGTTGGGAATTCTCTGGTTGTCCAGTGGTTAGGACTCAGCGCTTTCACTGCTGGGGCCCAGGTTCAATCCCTGGTTGGGGAACTAAGATCCTGCAAGCTGTGCCTTCCTCCACTCCCCACCTCCAAAAGTTCAGCATTGTGAATATAAAAGATCCAGTGATCCTTCCTTGGTTTCTTTACCTTCTCCCATTGGCTGAGGGTCAACTGGCCCCTCTTCCACCCCAGTTGAATTCCCTAGCAAATCCTTTGGTGTTTCCTCTGATATGTATACCATACTAATGACTTAGAATGGTCTCTGTTGCTCCTGGCCTCTTCCAAGGCGTTCTGGGCCCTGCCACTGCTGCTTACCAGCCCACTGCTTCTATTTCTGCCCTCCCCAGTTCTGTCCTGTGAATAGCAGTCAATATGATCTTAAAAAAATAAAAAAAGGAACAGAACACTCTTGGTGCCAAATTCTTCTGCTCAGCTAGTCATGGGATATAAACCCACATGTCCCTTTGCCCTGGTCTTTTATTATTATTTATTTAGTTTTGGCTGCACTGGGTCTCTGTTGTTGCGGGTGCTTTTCTCTAGTTGGGGGCGAGTGGGGAGGCGGTGGGGGGTGGGTGGCTACTCTCAGTTACGTTGCATGAGCATCTCATTGCTGTGGCTTCTCTTGTTGTGGAGCATGGGCTTAGTTGCCCCACAGCGTGTGGAATCTTCCTGGACCAGGGATCAAACCTGTGTCCTCTGCATTGGCAGGAGGACTCTTAACCACCGGACCACCAGGGAAGTCCATCCTTTGCTCTGGTCTTGACTCAGCTCCTGGTCCCTCTGCTCCTTCAGTTTTCCTCCCCAGACACTCCAATCACCAAGCTCCAGCCACTCCCACACGGGCTTTCTTCCCCCTTGAGTCCCCTCCCAGAGCTAGTTCATGCCCTGGCCAGTATTTTGAGACCCTCTTCCTCCAGGGCTTCTAAAGGCCAGGACGAGGTGGGAGTGGAGCCCCAGGAGCCCCTGCGCCCCATGATCGATGCTTTTTAGGATTTGGGATATTTGGGGGATAATATTGTATTATTCCTTGCTTCCTTTCTTCCCCCCTCCCTCCCATCCTTTTTTTTGGCTGTGCCTGACCAAGCATAGAACCCTGGCCCCCTGCACTAGGAGTGCAGGGTCTTAACCCCTGGACTACCAGGGACATCCCGTTCCTTTTTCTTTCTTTTTTTTCCCCCCTTGCCAAGTGGCTTGTGGGATCTTAGTTCGCTAAGCAGGGATTGAACCTGGGCCCTTGGCAGTAAAAGCCTGGAGTCCTAGCCACTGGACTGCCAGGGCATTCCCCTCCTTGTTTTCGATTTATAAATTTGGAAGACTGACTTGCAAAACTGTTCTGAAACTTGATTACCCACAATAGTCACGAGAGATAACTAGGCTTCCCCCGGGCGGCAAGGTCCACAGGCCTCTTTTCTAAACGTGAGAGAGAAACAGGGCCTCCCTGGCCTTTTAGGAAACCTCCCGGAAGGCAGGTGGGCGGGCTTGCCTTTGCTTCATTCAGGGTGGTGTGAAGCAGTGTCCAGGCTTGGGTGGAGTGGAATCCAGGCTTGGCCTGTTGCTCACGGCATCTCCCCTGTCCTCTAGCTATGCCTGCTCAGGACCCCACCTGTCACCAGGAGGGGAACATGGAGGAGGAAACAGTAGCTGCAGAGCTGCCAACAGCCTGGTCAGAGGTAACTGGAAATCCCCCTCCATCCAACGTGGCGTCTCCCTTCCCTGAGGGTGGGTGGCCTGGAGCCTCCAACCCCACCGGGACTTGTCCCTACTCTTCCTCTAACGGTGGTGAAGGAGCTTCCCAGAGAATGCTGGCATTGCCTCCGTATTTATGAACTTTTCTCAGTATAGTCACTTCTGGGCTGTGACAGAAAATCAAGAAAATCTATGAGACCACTTTGTCTCAGGAACTCTTGGGAACATCACTCATTCATTTATCTAAATTAAAAAAAAATGAAAATTTGTCACCATTTATTTATTTAAAAAATAATTTTTATTGGAAAATAGTTGCTTTAACTCATTCATTTACCAAGTATTCTTCCAGGACCTTGGGGAGCTCAGGGCTGGGTGTACCTGACTGAGGGGACCCAGGCAGGATGGGTTCACAGACAAGCTGGAGAAGACTTCAACTGTGTGTTGAAGAATTAACATATCAATGGGGCTACATGGGGCTGCTGAGGTCAAGTTCACCTTTCTGTCTGAACTTCCTAGCCTCAGTCATCTGGCTCCATCTTCCTGATGCCCTGGCCTCCTGGGACACTGATGGAGATGAGCTTGTGATATTTCAGGACCCAGTGACCTTCCAGGAAGTGTCGGTGGACTTCTCCCAGGAGGAATGGGCCCAGCTGGCCCCCGCTCAAAAAATCCTGTACCAAGACGTGATGCTGGAGAACTACAGGAACCTGACTTCTGTGGGTGAATGTGGTCGGCCACCTCTCTTCATTAGTAGATTTTGTTTTTGTTTTTCAGAGGTATCAGTGGTTTAGTGATGGGGAAGTTTACATGTCTGAAGCAAGGTTCTGGAGCAACACCCCACCATGTGTACACAATGGGCAGGATGTCATTCATAGGTTTTTTTTTTTTAAAGCAGATTTATTATTTTTAAAAATTATTTATTTTTTGGCTGCACTGGGTCTTTGTTGCTATGTGTGAGTTTTCTCTGGTTTCAGCGAGCGGGGCCTACTCTTCATTGCAGTTCACAGGCTTCTCATTGTGGTGGTGTCTCTTGTTGCAAAGCAGAGGCTCTAGGGTGCAAGGATTCAGTTGTTGTAGCGCACAGGCTTAGTTGTCCCTCAGCATGTAGAATCTTCCTAGAGCAGGGATCAAACCCATGTCCCATGCATTGGCAGGTGGATTCTTATCCACTGTACCACCAGGGAAGTGTCATTCATAGGTTTTTGCTGCAAACCTTTCTCAAGCACCTGCTGTGTTGCAGGAACTATTCTTGCTCTTGGGAGAAGTATGTGGCCCATCCTTAAGAAGTGATATTGTAGGGACTTCTCTGGCAGTCCAGTGATTAGGGCTCGACACTTCCCCTCTGGAAGGGGGAATAGGTTTGATCCTTGGTTGGGGAACTAAGCTCCTGCAAGCTTTGCAGCATAGCCAAAAAAAAAAGTGATTGTGTAGAATGGGGGTGAGCACTCTTTTTGTTAAGGGGCCAAGGAGTAAATATTTTCAGCTCAGTGGACCCTGGGTCCCTGTTGCAACTGCTCAATGCTGCCACTATGGTGCCAAAGCCACCGCAGATGGCATGTAAGCAAATATGCAGGGCTGTGTCCAATACAACTTTACTTACAGAAGCAGGTGGCTAATGTCTGGGCTGCAGGCACTAGCCCCTAGTCTCCTGTCTTTCTTTTGAGAGTGAAGATTTATTCATTATATCAACCTGATTTTCTTCATGATTGGAAGCTTTCATGCCCCTTATGTGTGTCTCTGAGCTTGGGTCTGAGGATCCCTGGAGGGTATGATGTGAGATAGTTTCGGGTCTTGGGTTATCATGTTGGTCTTCCCAGGTGCCTCAGTGTTGAAGAATCGCCTGCCAATGCAGGAGATGCAGGTTTGATCCCTGGTCTGGGAAGATCCCTGGAGAAGGAAATGGCAATCCGCTCCAGTATTCCTCCCTGGGAAATCCCATGGACAGAGAAGCCTGATGGGCTGCAATCCATGGGGTCACAAAGAGTGGGACACGATTGAGCGACTAAACAACAACCATCATTGTGTTACTGCTCATGGGGCCACGCATGCTGAAACTGTTGGCCCTACTCTAGGCAGAGTTCCTGTGTTGACCCTGCACACCCCCCACCTCATGTGTCTTTCCCCACGTGCCAGGGTATCATCTCCGCAAGCCCCGCCTGCTCACCCAGGGGGAGCTGAGAACCCGGAAGAGGAGACTTCTCCAAGACACCTGTGCAGGTGAGCCCTGGGGAAAAGGAGCCCTTTTACAGAGCTTCTCAAAGGTCATTTTTGTCTGAGAAATTGTGTCCAGCCACTTGGGGTGAATTTCCTCTTGAAACTTCTACTTTCCTTCCTCTCCTTCCCTTCTCTCTTTTCTCTCCCACTTTTTTTTTTTTTCATTTTCACCATTTATTTTCTTTTTATTTTCTTTTTTTTTAAATTAGTTGGAGGCTAATTACTTCACAGTATTGTAGTGGTTTTTGTCATACATTGACATGAATCAGCCATGGATATACATGTATTCCCCATCCCGATCCCCCCTCCCACCTCCCTCTCCACCCGATCCCTCTGGGTCTTCCCAGTGTACCAGGTCCAAGCACTTGTCTCATGCATCCAACCTGGGCTGGTGATCTGTTTCACCCTAGATAATATACATGTTTCGATGCTGTTGTCTTGAAACATCCCACCTTCGCCTTCTCCCACAGAGTCCAAAAGTCTGTTCTATACATCTGTGTCTCTTTTTCTGTTTTGCATATAGGGTTATCATTACCATCTTTCTAAATTCCATATATATGTGTTAGTATACTGTAATGGTCTTTATCTTTCTGGCTTACTTCACTCTGTATAATGGGCTCCAGTTTCATCCATCTCATTAGAACTGATTCAAATGAATTCTTTTTAATGGCTGAGTAATATTCCATGGTGTATATGTACCACAGCTTCCTTATCCATTCGTCTGCTGATGGGCATCTAGGTTGCTTCCACTTTTTTTTTAAATTGAAGTATAGCTGATTTACAATGTTGGATACATTTCAGATGTACATCAGAGTGATTTGGTCATGCATATATGTTGTTTTAGTCGCTAAATCATGGCCACCTCTTTGCGACACATGGACTTAGTCCACCAGCCGTATGTGTATTAATATATATGTATATAGGGTATTCCTCAGGGCTCAGTGGTAGAGTTCTATCCATGAGTTGGGAAGATCCCCTAGAGAAGGGAATGGCTACCCACTCCAGTATTCTTGCCTGGGAAATCCCATGGACAGAGGAGCCTGGTGGGCTACATAGTCCATGGGGTTGCAAAGAGTTGGACATGACTTAGCGACTAAACAACAACATTTATATATATTCTTTTTTTTTGTTTGTTTGTTTGATTCTTTTCCATTGTAGGTTATTACAAGATTTGAACATAATCCTTGCTGTTTCTACCACTTTTTCTATAAGAATAAGCTCTGTCCTGCTTTCTCTTTTTAAAATTCATTTTTATTGGAGTATGGTTGATTTACAATGCTGTGTTAGTTTTAGGTATTCAGGAATACCTAACTAGTTATGCATGTACATATATCCATTCTTTCTTAAGTTCTTTTCCCATTACAGAGTACTGAGTACTGCTTCTTCTTTCCAGAACATTCCCAAGTGTGCTATTTGCCCATTTTCCCACTGTCCTCAAAGTTTGCTTGCCCTCTTTTAGACAGTTGTCTCATTCTTAACAAAATTGTTCCCTGGCCTGTCACTTGCCATTTTCACCCCTTGTTTGTGTCCTTGTCAAATTCTATACCTTGCTGAAATCCTAAGTCTGTCTTTAGCTGCTGGTGCATTCTTCCCTGTCACAGTGACTAAGAAGAGTCAGTATATGAAAGAAAAACTCCATGGGCCTCTATTTTTTGTTTTATCTAACCATTTATTTCTCCATGAACTTAAACATTTTTTATTCTGATTATTTCAGACCAGAAGTCTCAGCTTAAAACCAAGGAGACCACAGCTGGGAGGAATAAAGTTTGGGAAAAACCATTTACTGGCAGGAAAGGGGTAAGGCTCATGAGGGTTCATTGCTGGTTCTCTGCAGGAGGAAATTGCCATGAGATAGACAAAGAGCGCAACAACCTGGGGAGACACGAGGGGCCAGTAGCCTTCACCTAAGATAAGTGAGACTCTCTCAGGAGAGAGTCTTGGGGTGCCATGAATTTGGGTAATATCCTAAACTGATTTCAATAGTGATTCATAGATAGATCCCACAAATAAGCAGGTCCATAAATATAACTTAGAATTGAGTTTTTGTTTTACATAACTATCAAAAAAAGAAGTCTGTACATAAGAAGTCTTATGAATGCAGCCATGATGGAGCCTTATGGTAGAGCATTCCCTGTATTTACCTGGTGGCTCAGGTGGTAAAGAATCTGCCTGCAATGCAGGAGACCCAGGTTCAATACCTGGGCTGGGAACATCCCCTGGAGAAGGGAATGGCTCCCACTCCAGTATTCTTGCCTGGAGAATTCCATGGACAGAGGAGCCTGGCGGGGCTACAGTCCATGGGGTCACAAAGAGTTGGCCCCAACCGAGCGACCAAACACTTTGACTTCATTCTCTCTGCTCAATTTGAACTCAGACAGGGCAGAAGCAGTGCACTTGCTCTGAAAATGGTAGCAATTTCTAAGGTAGGAATTTGCTTTCTTTACTCCACACACTTCCTATGGGGGAGAATTCCCATGAGTGCAATGAAAGTGAGAAAGCCTTTAGTTACTGCCTATCTCTTCATTGACAGGCACCAGCTCAACCTGGAAAGAAGTCCTATGAACACAGTCTGTGTGGAAAAGCCATCAGAAGGAATCCTGACCTGACTACTAAGAGGAATTACACAGGCGCGAAACACGATGAATGTAAAGAATGTGGGGAAGCATTTAGTTATCCTTCCTTCCTTGGGGTTCACGTGTGATCACACGTTGGTGAGAAAACCTACAAATGTTCTCAGTGTGAGAAGGCTTTCAGTTGCAACTCCTTTCTTGGGCCGCACGCATGAATTCATCCTGGAGAGGAACCGTGTAAGTGTAGCTAGTGTGGGCAGATCTTCAGCTCTACCTCGAGCCTTGCTGTAGCCAAGAGGATGCACGCTCGGGAGAAGCTGTATGATGAATGCAGTGACTGTGGGAAGGCCTTCGTCAGGAGCAGTGACCAGACAGTGCATAGGAGAGTGCACACGGGGGAGAAGCACCGCCAGTGAAGTGATGCGGCAAAACCTCTAGCAGAAAGTTCTTTCTGATGGCGCACATGAGAACCCATACTGGGGAGAAGCCCTGCCCAGTCAGCGCCTGCAGAAAAGCCTTCCGTAGGAGCTCTAAGGCGACTGCCCACAAGAGGCTACATGCAAGAGGGAAGATGTAGCAGTGCCGGAAGCTTTCCAGTCATCATTCATCATGTAGGAAACACGTGAGGATGCACACTGCAGACAGGTCTGGGAGTGGAAGCAGAGAAAGGCTCATCGGTCACAGGAGAGCAGCTCTGTGAATAGCTTTGGTATGGGGGGAAGCCTGCTGGGGCTTAAACTACTGCACAAGGAAATTCAGAGTGGCAGGGCAAACATATAAACGTGAAGAATGTGGGCTTGCTTTTATTAGGTCCTATCTTGAAGCTGGAAATCTAGCTCATTAATTTTCAGTCTTGTGTTTTTGAATTTAAGCAGTTAAGGCCATAGATATCCTGCTCAATACCCCATTTGACTACATTACATGTGTGTGTGCTCAGTCATGAAGCCGTGTCTGACTCTGCCACCCTAGGACTGTAGCCCTCCAGGCTCCTCTGTTCATGGGATTTTCCAGGCAAAAATACTGGAGTGGATTGCTGTTTCCTCCTCCAGGGGATCTTCCTGACCCAGGGATCAAACCTGCGTCTCCTGCATTGGCAGGTAGAGTCTTTACCACTGAGCCCCAGTTGAACCCGCACATGGGTTTTAAGCTAAGGTTTTTAAAACTTTGGTTTAGTTCTAAGTATCATCTGATGTATCTATTAGACCTATTTTAACTCACAGTGTCACTTTACTTTTTAAGCCTATCAAAATACTACTTCACTTGAATTTCATCCAAACTCTCTCCTTCCCCCCAGTCCTCTAATATCCCTGTGTCTTCCGTGGTTTGGTGGGACACCCGGGGGTTTCTCAGGGATGTCGTTTCCTGTGTAACAAGTTGGTAAATCCGACCTTGTTACACTATAGGTTTTGTCCCTGGTGGTCTTTGGCTGATTTGTGTTGGGACAATAATGTGTAGTCACGAATACACTCTGCTAGAAATGAGAATACATTTACATTCTCATCTTCTAAAATGTTCCTAAAATACCCTTCTAAAATGTCTTCTAAAATGTTTTCCTATCCATATTGATTTTCATTTATGGTGTCAGGTTTTGTTGTTCAGTCGCTAAGTCAAACATAATTTCTGTTCAAAGTTGGGAGATGAACTCCAGGAAATGGAGTTTTGTGCTGATTGTTGAACCACAGTTTTTTAAACATCTCTGTTCATTTTATATCTGCTATTTCCAAGACCAAGAAAAGAAATCTTTAAATGTATTTTTCATGTAGGCAGCTGTTTCTTTGAACCTCTCTCTGGAGAATGATGTTTAATTTTATAATTCTGTCTGAAAACTTACCTTGCATGTAAAATGCACCATTTTAAATGTACAGGTTGATGAAATTTGACCAGTGTGTAAACCTCTATAATCACCATCCAAATTAGGATGTAAAACATTACCATCTTCCCAGAAAGAATAACATTGATTTTTCCCATCATTAACAAAGCTGTAAACTGTGGAAGTGAGAATGCTTTTGTGTTCCATAATAAAAGAGCAATTTGATAGGGAAGAAAAAAATTGCCTGGTGGAAATTTCCAGTGGGTAGGACTCCATGCTTTACTGCAGGAGGTGCATGTTCTATCCCTATTTGGGGAACTTAAGATCCCGCAAGCTGCCTAGCAGCAAAAAACAACAAAAACCCTCAATAAACAACATGACTTTAAGCCTGGCAGTTTAACCTGAGCAGACAGCCTAGAAGCTGATTACCTCATCACGCGTGCCCACATCACACAACGTGATAGGCCAATGTCCCTCTCAGTGCCCTAATCAAGAGCTTTGTGCAGGACTCTAAGCACCTTAAAGCAGTTGCATTGGGGGTTAATTTGCAGAGCAGATTTACTGTTCTAAGTTAGGCCAGTCTGATGTATTTCTTTCTCAGCCCTCCAAAACAGTAGGGTTTTTAAAAATTGTATATTTAAATTTATTTATTTGACTGTGCCAAGTCTTTGTTGTGATCCGTGTGATCTAGTTCCCCAACCAGGGACCAAACCCAGGCTCCCTGCATTGGGAACACAGAGTGTTAACCCCTGGACCAACAGGGTAGTCCCCCCCACACACACTAGTTTAACTCTTTGTGTTTTGTGCATATTTCTAAACCTACACTTTAAGACAGGGGTTTGCAAACTTGTTTGGTAAATGGGGAGATATTAAACACTTTTGATTTGGTGGCCAGATGATCTCTGTTAGAACTACTCACCTCTACCATGTGGGACAAAAGCGGCCCCAGAAAACACATAAGTAAACAGGTGTGGCTGTGCACCATCAGAACTATGCAAAAACAGAAGCCAGGCTGGCTTATCCTTATTTTAAGGCAGAGGTTGCATTAAGAAAGTGGAAAAAGGAGACTCGTGCTTTCGAAAAGCACTGCACCTTATTGGCTTATTTATTAAAAAAAAAAAAACAAAACAAAACACTCACAGAACTTTGAACTGTGGACACTGGATCCTCAGTATGTAAGAAATTGGGAATTTCCTGACGGTCCATTGGTGCTCTCACTGCAGTGATTCTGCGTTCAGTCCCTAGTTGGGGAACTAAGATCCCACAAGCTGAGAGGCCTGGCCAAAGTTAGAAATATTAAAAAAAAATTAATTTCGATCGACAAATGTGATCCTGAGGGAAAAGGGAAACTAGGAAATGCAGCTTCCAAAGTTCAGAGAACACACATTGCTGGTGGGAACTTAAAATGGTGTTGGTTGTAACTGAAAACCCCTTGACCCCAAAGAGAAATCAAAAGCTGTCCAAAGACTTGCACACAAGTGTGCAAAACATATGTCATGATAGCCAAAAAGAGAAAACCCAAAATTTCCCTTTGGGGAGCTGGATAAATAAAATATAGTTAACTGTACAATGAAATATTATTTGGCCATACAAGTACATGAAGGTTTTTTTTTTTCCTTTCAATTTTTTAACTGTGCCATGCAGCATGTGGGATCTTAGTTCCCCAACTGGGGATAGAACTTCTGCAGTGGAAGCTTGGTGTCTTAACCACTTGACCACTAGGGAAGTCACAGAAACAAATGAACCTTGCAAAACATGCTCAGTGAATGAAACCAGTCACAAAGGACCACAGACTGTATTACCCATTTATGTGACATATCCAGATTAGGCAGAGAGGGCATAGAAACAGAAATTAGGTCCACTTTCGCCTGAGCTGGTGGGGAGAGCCCAATTAACTATGCAGGCATGAGGGATCTTACTGGGGTAATGGAAATGTTCTAAAACTGGTTCATGCTGATAGTTGCACAGTGTGATACATTGACTATAAATCATTTGAGCTGTACATTTCAAATGTGTGAGTTTTACGGTATGTGAGTGATACCCCACTAAAGTTGTTTTAAAAGGTTCTTCCACTGTGCATTCGTTTTGGTAAACACAGCTACCGTCTTCATCATGGCAGGATAGACCCATAATACTCAGTTGTGAAGTCATCCTTGTAATTGTGGCATTCCTCGGAGAGGACAGTCACTGTCTGTTTTCTCAAATGCTGGTATTCAATTGTTAATGAATCTTCTTTGGACTGAATGAATGATCTAAAGAGTGCAACACTCTTTAACTCATTATTGGGGTTCAGTTGGGGTTATTTATCTTGGCGTGTCATCTTCTCTTTCAGGGTCTTCTTCCTTTTAACCCATAGTTTCCATGCTACACTTTTCAATTTGGTTCTTTTCCTTGTGTTATTTAGAAGTCTTTTTGGACTTCTTGTGAGAAATGGCATGGTTTTCTTTCCTAGAATCTGAATACTTCACACTGTATTTCTGGAGAAGACCTAGAGGTCTATGTGTCTTGCTGGTCCTCATAGAGAGTTCTCTTTGTTGAGTCTGTTCATAGCAAATTTGATATACTCCTGTCTAATAACTGATGGGTAGATCGTTGGGGGGATTTCTACAGATAATCATATCTACATATACAGATAGATTCATTTGCTCCTTTTAAATTCTTACCACTTTCTTATGCTCTTGTTGCCTATCTCTGGCAGGGGCTTTTGAATCATATTGATTAGAAGGGGCCTTCTGCACCTCCTGATCTTAAATGGCATTGTATTCCTATTGTATCAAAGTGTTGTCTGCTGTTAAGTTTTGGTGGATGACTTTATCAGGATGAGAAAGTTGCCTTCTCCTAGGGCATTAGTGTTCTTTCTTAAGAACAGGCATTGCATTTATTTTTTTTTTTTACAAAATCGAATGTCTGTTCTGCATCTCGTGAGATGATAGTATTTGTTCATTGATGTATTTCAAAACCCCTGGAACAAGGGTAGAACTCATAGCAGGCACTCAATAAGTATTTGTTGAATGAATGAATGAATACAGGTAGCTTTTTTTTTTTTTTTTTAACATGTCTGTGTGGTAAATGACTTGAATTGACTCTTCTACTGTGCTATTAACCTTGCATTCCTGGCTAACTCTGCCCTCTCATATCTACTACACAGCACTGTTCCCAGTTTGCTAGCTAGGATTTTTGCATCGTTGAGTGACACCAGATTGCAAATTTCCCTTTGTGATGCTGTTCTTTTGTTGTTGGGATATGCCAGCCTCATAAAGTTAGTTGGGGAAATTCCCTCAAAGTCCATGCCTTTACTCACCAATTATCAACTTTTTTTTTGGACAACTGTTTTATGTTTTCCCTCCTCATGTATGTCTGACTTGTTGCGACCCCATGGGCTATATAGCCTGTCTGGCTCCTCTGTCCGTGGGATTTTCCAGGCAAGAATCCTGGAGTGGGTAGCCATTCCCTTCTCCAGGGGGATCTGAGCCACCAGGGAAGCCCCCTTTCTTTTTTTAATGGGTGAGCCATTACAAACATAAGACTTCGTTAGCATTCATCCCAAGAACCGGGATATTGTCAAAAATAGAAAGATCTTCCCTTCCTCCAGGCTGACCGTTAATCTGCCACAGTTTCATGGACGTTGGCCAGTCACCAGATTTCTGGATCAGAGACTTAAGGGCTTTATTAACAGTGCAGGAGGCAACAGATTCTTCACATTCCTGTTGATTCTCCTTGACCCCCAAGTTGCACAAGGGTGATGTGAAATGACCCACGTGGCTGCTACACATGAAGTCAGTTTGTGTCACAGCTCAGGAACCCCAGGGTTTTCTAATGAGCTGTAAACAAATCTGCCCCATCTTTGCCTGGGAGGGAGACTTAACTTTATGACACTGGACTACAAACATACCTGCCCTCTGCCCCGAGGATGTCTACTCGATAAACATCCTCAAGGACACAGTCCAGAACAGAGCAGGACATGTGGAACTGTGAGTTATCCCATGGAGAACTATCTCCCAATGGACATTTCCTCTATAATCAAAATATAATGAATATACATATGAAATTTAACATGGATAAAATGTTAGAGCACACAAGCTCTAATCAAATTTCTCCCCACAAATATCCTTTCTTGAGGATTCAAATTATAATTTAATTTTTTAAGTTATTTTTTAAAAAAACCTTGGGAATTCATTGGTGGTCCACTGTTTAGTGTTCTGCACTCTCTGCCAAGGGGCCTGCTGGGTTCAATCCCTGGTCTGGGGACAAAGATTCCACAAGCTGCGAGATGCAGCCAAAAAAAAGCAAAAAACTTACATAACAAGTCCTGGGAAAACAGACACTTAAATATAGCCTTCTGAAAAAAGTGACTTTATTCAACCCTTTATTCACTTCTGAAAAAAGTGACTTTATTCAACACTTAAATATAGCCTTCTGAAAAAAGTGACTTTATTCAACCCTGAATCAGGTAAGACAGGAAATGGATGCCTGCACAGAAAACTTTTTTTTTTCATGGAAGTTGTGAAAGCCCTCATGAGCACCCATCCTTCTATGTGACACGTAAGGACAAATAGAGAAGGGTCATGTTAGTGTAACGACTATGGATGGGCCTTCAGATGGGACCTTCACTTATTATTTACAAGAGAACTCATTTTGAGAGAGGGACTCTGTCAATGTTATGAATGTGGGTTTGACTTTATGCTACATTCTTTTTTAAAAAAAATATTGAAGTAAAGATGATTTACAATGTTGTGTTAGTTTCAGGTGTTCAGCAAAGTGATTCAGTTATATGTGCCTGTATATATTGTTTCCAGATTCTTTTCCCTTCTAGACATAGCTCCCAATGCTGCATTTTTTACATGGACCCCGAGCTCATTAGTTTCTTGGCTTTTCCTTGCGTAATATAAATACTCAAGGCCACATATATCACTCTAAATGTCCTCCAAGTTATCCAACAAGCTGTGATAGGTGATCTTTTTACTTATTGTGGCTCACTTGTAAATACTGTCTTATTTCCATTTTTGACAGCCCCTTAGACACATGGGTTATTCAGGAATATGTCTTCCAGATGCGGTGCCGGGGTTTCTAGGTTGCCTTGTTTTTCATTTCCATTCTAGTTGTTTGTGGTTGGAGTCAGCGACCTGTAGGATGTGGAATCTTTGGCATCTGTTGGGACTTTATGGGCCCAGTGCAGCACACATTGCTCTGTGTCCACTCTTCCCACTTCCTACTATCACAACCTGGGTTTTGCTTAACTTGTTAAATGTTAGTAAAACAAAAACAGCAAACCCATCTTGCTCTCTCCGTCTTTCTTTTTTCTTTTTTTAAAATTATTTAACATTGGATGTGCTAGGTATTTGTTGCTGCATACAGGCTTTCTGTAGCTGGGGTGAGCAGGGGCTACTTTCTCTTATGGGACACAGGCCTATCATTGTGCTGGCTTCTCTTGTTGTGGAGCACAGGCTTCAGTTGTTGTGATGCAGAGGCCCAGTTGCGCAGCATATGGGATCTTCCTGGGCTAGGGATCAAACCCATGTCTCCTGCATTGGCAGGCAGATTCTTATTCACTGAGCCACCAGGAAAGACCCTCCCCATCTTTCTTGAAGGAATGCCTCACAGCCCTGGCACATGGCAGAGAGGCAGAATCACTGGTGTGATTTCTAGGAAAGCTGTTGAAAAGGGGACAATCCCATGTTTGTTTATCTCACTCTCTTTCTCCTTGGTCCCTCCTCTTTCTTTCTGCCTGGAAAGTAAATACAATGCCTGGGGTTGGAAGAAGGTGACCAGTAGGCAGAAGCCACAGGCAAAGATGGTTTCGCCAGAACACAAGGCTTCCTTGCTTCTCAGCAATTTCTCTGAGTGGCTGTACCGACACTGAACTGCTTATCTCTAGACTCACGGTACATGAGAAAAAGAAATATTGTTTTTTTTTTTTTAAGTCTCCACTGTAGTTTCATGATGGGGGAGCTATCAAGAGTTTTTTCTTTATTTCTCTTAGGAGTTTAAACATTTTTTTTATTTGACTGCATTGGGTCTCCTTGCAGCACACAGGATCTTTGTTTCGTCATGTGGGGTCTTTTGTTACGGTACACAGGCTTCTCTCTAGTTGCGGCTCACGAGCTTAATGGCTCCACGGCATGTGGGATCTTAGTTCCTGGACCAGGGACTGAACCCGCATTCCCCTGTGCTGCAACACGGATTCTTAACCGCTGGACCGTCAAGCAAGCCATTCTTCTGAAGTGTTTATCACTCCCGTTGAGTATGGCGTCTGCTGGTGTGGTTGCCAGGAGAGCCCGCATCTTGGGCTTCCGCCTCGTGGGCTTGGTTTGCTACTGGCCTGGTTGCTGCCCCGCGCAGAACCTCCCTCTGGGGTCGTGCTAAGACTGCTCCTGGCAGGGACTAAGCCTGGCGGGAGTGCTAGTAGAAGCCCATCCCTGCAGGTCATGGGCTCTTCCGCTGTCGGCCACGGTTCAAGAACCGCCCCCTGGTCTGGCCCAGACTTGGCTAGACTGTTCCCCTGTCTGGGGCTGTCCTGACCCAGCCTTCCTCCTCTCTTCCTTCTGACTGAGCTTGACCACAGATGACAGAATATCAATGGGAGTCATTGACAAACTGGTCAAAGCTGATTCTGTGACCTGCTGTCCACAAAAACCTGATGGATATGGGTTCAGAGAAACTAGGAGAAAAATTGGAGACAGCAAGGAGAAAGATTTTTTTAGGTCTATTTTGTTCAATATTATTATTAATAAAGCCATGCCAGTCTTCTGTCAGATAGCTCTCCCGCCTCATGTTAAGCCTTCGGTGTACTTTAGAGGTGTCTCTTGTAAAAAGGATGTAGCTGGATCTCAACCCCCATGTCAGTCCACTCTGAAAGTATCTTTCAATCTGTAAACGCGTCTAGTTTTTTATTGTGATTTCTAATATATTAGATTAACTTCTACCACCTCATAGTTCTGATTTCTATTCAGATTTCTTTTAAAACATGGCAACAGAGAAGATTTGATGAAAATGTATAGGTACAGTTAAAAAACAAACAATAAACTTGTGATGCTTTAGTCGCTAAGTCATGTCCGACTCTTACGACCGCATGGACTGCAGTCCTCCAGGCTCCTCTGTCCATGGGATTTCCCAGGCAAGAATACTGGAGTGGGTTGCCATTTCCTTCCCCAGGGTAATATTATGTATCCCCTGCCAAAAGAAGAAAAAAGAATGCAAGTAAACAACAGGTGAAATATAGATGTCTGTACCTGAGTCAATCACATTCTGGCAATGTCAGTATTCTTATCTTGATAATGAATTACAGTTATGTAAGACGTTGTCATTAGGAGATGCCGGACAAAGAGTCCATGGGACCTCAGTACTATTTTTGTAATTTCTTGTGATCCTTATTCAAAATAAACATGACTAAAAATTGAGAAAGGAACAATAGCGTGTTAATACTTTCCTACTTTTGCTCATTTTTGAGATTTATTTAAGTCACATGAAACTATAATTTATATAATTGCTACATAAGGGTCTTTTGTATGAATGTACACAACTTACTTATCCAGTCTACAGTGGATGGGCCTCTCTGGGTAGTTTGTAGCTTTTATCCTTTATTAAAGAAGTTGCCATAAACATTCTTGTACACCTCCCATGAACTCACTGGGTGTAGAATATTTATGTTCAGATTTCTTTTGTATTTTATGTAAAATGTATCTCATTGCTGATTACTAATGAGAATGGGCATCTTTTTATATTTATTGGCTCTTGTGAGTTTCCCTTTGGAAATTACCTTTACATGTTTTTGCTAATTTCTGTCTGTATCTTTGTCATTTCTCTATGTTACAGGAGTGTGATATTTCTGATGCCAGTTCTTTTTTCCTTGTCAATGCCCCTCTTTATGGCGTCTTGATGAACAGTGATTCTGAACTTTAATCTGTTAGTTTCTGTGTCTCATTCCCAAACTCCAATTCTAAATATGTTCAACTTCATTGTCTTCTTCGGTTTTGATGTTTGGTTTCATGTTTAAATTCTCAATCAACCTGAAATTGACTTTTGTTTGTGACAGAGTATGACAAGTTTATTGATAATGATTTCAGATTCCACAATGCAACTAATCTTTAATAAATAAATGATCACTTGTTAATACTGGTACTATATCAAAGAAGACTTTTCAATTATCTGAAGAGGCTATAAAAATACTTCCCCCTTTCCATCTGTGTATCTGTATGTAGCTGAATTTCTTCACCTACTTCAATCAAAACAACATACCACAGCAGAATGATTGTAAAAGCAAGTATGAGAATACAACCGTTCCTGTTAAGTAGACATTAAAGAGATAATGCGAAAATGTAAAATAATGCCACTCTTAATTTTTTGTTTTGGAAAATATACTTAAAAAATAAAGTACTATTTATTTATGTTTACATGTAATGACTTATTTTTAACAGATGAGTAATAATATTTTTTGAGTAATATTTTAAAAAACCCAGTTTTAACATTATTCTTGAAATTTGACATTGTTTAAGAAGATTTTAGCAGAGCCTTACAAGCTTTTATAGAAATGAAACATTTCAAAAAAATAGGTAAAGAGATCAAAATAAGATTGTATGGCTAAGAATCAATTGATAAATATTAAAATTCACAAATAAAATAAGAATATTATATAAAAATACAAAATGCTTTTTTATTACCTAACATTATCTCTATTTTCTTTCTTCCTATCAATCTTTTAATCAGTCAATCATATTAGTTAAGGTAATGCAAGCTGTTGAAACAGATAAGTCCTGAAGTCCAATGTAGCATTAAAGATGTATTTTGTATATTATTTATATGTGCTGAATGTAGAACTGACAAGATTTTGTGGTAGATTACATGAGTACTAATCTATACTAGTTCATGTTGAGGTTTGATAGAAAACAACAAAATTCTGTAAAGCAATTATCCTTCAATTAAAAAATTAATTAAAAAAGAATAAAAGGTGGCTTCAAGGATTTTGGCTTGAGCAACTGCTCAATAATGGAACTGTCATTTACTGAAATGGGGTAAGACTGAGCAGGAACAATGTTGGGAGAAAATCATGCTTAGTTTTGGGCATCTTAAAATTAACGTGACCATCACACCCAGTAGTGGAGATGTCAAGCAGTCATCTCCTCAGGCCGCTTGCCACGTCACTACAAAGACATGATATGACATGCTAGTTTCTTTGGAAAAAATGTCACTTGATTATTTAGAATTTATCATAGCATGAAATGTCTTTTTGACCAAAAGTGGATTCCCCTTTTGCCCCTTCTATCAACTTTTTTTTTTCCACGCTGGATTGCTTGGGGGATTCTAGTTCCCCAGCCTAGTTCAATCATGAGATTGAACCCATGCCCTCAGCAGTGAAAGTGTAGAGTCCTAACCACCAGACCACCAAGGAATTCCCTTAACAACCTTTTTTTTCTTTAAACTTTTTATTTTGTATTGGGGTATAGCCAATTAACAATGTTGTGATAGTTTCAGGTGATCAACTTCTTATTTTTAAATATTTCAAACTTGCCATGAAGTTGAAAGAATATACTGGTAAGCACATGGAGAAACTGAAACTCTTGTACATTGCTGGTGGGAATATGAAATGATGCAACTGCTGTGGAAATCAGTCTGGAAGTTCCTCAAATAATGAAATAATTATTATGTTCCACTCTGGGTATAAATCCAAAAGAACTGGGAAAGAAAAATGAAAGTGAAGTCGCTCAGTCATGTCTGACTATTTGCAATCCCATAGACTGTAGCCTACTAGGCTCCTCCATCCATGGAATTTTCTGTTCTGGGTATAAATCCAAAAGAACTGGGAACAGGGACTCAAATATTTGCACAACAATATTCAGAGCAGCATTATTCACAGTAGCCCACTAACGCCAAACTCAAAAATTTACAAATTCAGGGTTTTTTTTTTAGAGTTTTTATTTTATCTTTCCTTACATAAGTTCTTTACACAAAAAATTTTTTTTAATTAAAAACAATTAAAAAAAACAAACCTTGCTGTGCGGCCTGCAGGATCTTAAGAGTGTTAACCACTGGACCGCCAGGGAACTCCTAATTATTTTTTTTAATTTTCATTTTATATTGGATTATAGTTGATCAATATTGTGTTAGCTTCAGGTGTACAGCGAAGTGATTCAGTTATACATACACAAATTCATTGCTTTAAACATAGCCCAAACAAGGAGATGGAGAGTTTCAGTCATTTAGAGCATAGCTGCTTAGCATACTCCAGAAATAAAGTCTAAAATCTGCCCACGATGAGGAGATAAATCCTGGGGCTATAAAGACCCCAAAGTGCTGTTGCCCTTCAGAGCTTTCTGACCCAGAGACTCCCCATGAGGCTTCTGAACATCACCTAGACACATAAACCGCCTCTGCAACTGCCTTTTTCTCCTGCTCCCCCCTTCAGAGTAGTAACCCTGATGCTATAACTTTGCTATTTCCTGGTACTTTGCTCAGATGCAAACCTGTCAACTATGGGCTCAGTTGTGTCTGACTCTGTGATCCCATGATCACCAGGCTCCTCTGTTCATGGGGATTCTCCAGGCAAGAATACTGGGGTGGCTTGCCATGCCCTCCTCCAGGGGATCTTCCCAACCCAGGGATCAAACCCAGATCTCCCACATTGCAGGTGGACTCTTTACTGTCTGAGCCAATCTATCCTTCTCCAGGGGGAACTTTCCAGTGCAGGAATCGAACCAGGGTCTCCTGCATTGCAGGCAGATTCTTTACCAGCTGAGCTACCAGGAAGACCAAGAAACTTGTCAAAGTTCTACCCAAATAAGTTGTCTGTACTGCCACCTCATGGTCATATATTTTTCCTTAATAAGTCCAGAAATCACTTGAATACTCTACTTATGTGTATGGCTTCCCAGCTTCCCCAACATACACATTTAGATCATTGATCCATCTAGAGTATTATTTTCGTGAGTGGTGTGAGGTACATGTGTAATTTTATCTTTTCCCAGATGGCTAACTAGTTAGTTGTCTTTGCACTTTTCATTAAAACTCCATGTTTGTCTCAGTGATCTGAAATACCACCTTTACAAAATAAAATTCCATATATTCTTGGGCCTGTTTTGAGAGATTCTTCTTTATTCTATTTGATTCCTATTTATGTGACAATACCACAGTTTTATAGTGGCTTTGTGCTATGTTTTAACATCAGTAGGGCATCATCCCTTATTTTTCAGTGCTTTCTTGGGTATCATCAGATGTTTGTTCTTCCATATAAACTTTAGCATCAATTTGCCTAATAAAAAAAGGTCGTTGGCACTCATATTAGGATTATGTTATGAAAGTGAAAGTCACTCAGTTGTGTCCAACTCTTTGCGAC